GTGAGTGCTGGTTACCAAGGCTGAAAGGAAGGGAGACAGGGCTTCTCAGCCCATTCTGTGCCACTTAACAAAATATCTGAGACTGGGTAATCCAGAACGAGCAGAAATGTCTTTGCTCTCATCTGGATGCTGAGAAGTCTGGATCTGAGGAGCCCACACCAGTAAGGACATTCACTGGACATGTTCCCATGCCTGAGGGTGGAGAGGAGCCACTTCCCTGTGAGGTACAGCACCTACATCACCTCCACCACCATCACCACCTTCTCCATAAACAGCACTAATCTGTCTCTGGGCCCCACGCTCAGGACCCAATCCCTTCTTACAGACCCAGCCTCTCGATGCTGCTGCCCTAGGGAGTGAGTTGTCAACACAGGAGCTCTGGCAGACACTCAGACCATAACACAGGTTGACACTGTCACAGGTAAAGTTCCAGCTCTGAACATCTAGCATATATAAAGGTAACCATTTTTACCATATACCTGAATTCTTCTAAGGCAGATCTTATGTTCTCACTACAAAAAGAAAAAAAAAAGGGCAAATTCTTGAAATGAGGTCAGTTTAATTGTAGTCATTAATTCATAATCTAATCCCATCATTAGGTTGTACACCTTAAATTAAAAATGATAAGGCTGGAAAAAAAGATCTACCATTATTTACCTTTTAAAATGAGTAGAGAACATTTTAGGGATAGAGTGGTGGCTCTAGGGGCAGCACTTGGGGAGCAGCAAAAGGACTGCGTTTGGTCCGCAAATTCCTGCAACTGCAGTGATGTGAGCTTCCAGCCCAGCTCTATTCAGTGAGAGACCCTGTCTCAAAGGAGTGAGGCAGAGATCAAGAGCAGCGTCCTCCTCACGCCTCCCTACCTGCAGGCGCATGCGCACGCGCACACGCACATACACACACACGCACACGCTTATACACATAAGAGGAAAGAAGGGAGGGAGGGAGAGAAGGAGGAGAGAGAGAGAGGGAGAGAGAAAGAGGATTCTATTGACTATATGCTACATTAAGTACTGTTCCAGATACAGACAGCCTTAGGTTCAGCCTCGCAAGGACAGGTCACCTTGCTAAAGAGCCCGGCTTACTAAGCCTAGATGTACAATGTTACTAACAAAGGCCGCGGTCCAAAGCTCTGCCTCTTTGGAATTTAAGTCTGCTCTTCCCTGACCCCCGACCCCCCACGGCCCTCTTCTCACAGCTCAGTTTAGTCACACTGAAGGCAGCATATCCACACTGTTATAAAAGTCGGCTTAATCTAAGCAGCTGCTGGTGAGTTAAAGCACGACCATGAGTGAACTCAGCAGATCCATGACACAGAAAGTCTAACTTTGAAAACCAGGGCAAACCACGGCGCCAGAAGAAGCCGCCGTGCGCACACGCCATTACACTCGGCTGGAAGATGGAGAGGAAGTTCTGGGGTACAAGTCCATAAACTGAGCCAGACAGAAGCACAAACCGTCAGCCCAATTAGTGGCCAAAGTGAAGCACATCAACTGCACCCTGAAAGGCTTCATAGGGCAGTAAAGTACATTTCCATATTGACTAAAAGCAAAATTTCTGTGGTGTTCCCACAGAGAAATTTTTCATTGCATTACATTATTAATATTTATTTCATTAAGATGTTCAATCTCTACCACCACTAGTAAGAATTTAACAAATGGATATTAGGACACAGAATATATACAAAAATGTGGCTGCAAATGCCACTGGATATGTGTGCTACACTCCCAGGGCAGAGAGGACACACCAGAGGCCACCCATGCTTGACGAGTACTGACCAGTGCTGACCGAGTACTGACGAGTGCTGGATTCAGGTCCTCACTGCCTCCTTCCTGCTCAGGTGACCTTGGAAATAGCAAGTTTACCTTCACTTTCATGAACATCACCATGCTAGAACAGTCCCTACTTGATGAAGTCATGGGACGACTTAAATAAGTGACTGCGTGCGTAGAAAGAGCACGTGATCAATGGTTGTGAATGGCCACCCTTGCCCTGAAAACCAACACTAACACCACATATCTTCAACACTCTCTCTGCCGAGTCTAGAAAACTAAGGGTTTGTGTAGAAATGTCAGAGAGAAAATACAACTACTTGAAGATTTTCTGAATGAGATAGTTGTTAATTATGTCATTCTTTGATTATTTATCTGAAAGGATGCTATAGTTCTTTTTCTAGAGCTAAGCACTGATTTTAATTTATTACCTGCTGATTATCATCACTGAATTCTCTTACTTACTCCTGTGAGGTAGAGTCCCATCCCTCCCCCCACACACACACACACACACACACACACACACACACACGCAGAGCATAGACCTTGAGATGTTCAGAGCACTTACAACACTAAGGCTCCAGAGCCTGTGCTTCTCAGAGACACAGCTCAGACCCAGAATCTGGGCTGATGGCCACTGTCTTTGTAAAGAACTTTCCAATTAGTCATTATCACCAGGTGGAATTTTTTGCTCATGACTTGAAAAGAAAAGAAACAAATTTTGTAAAGGAGTCAAATAAATAGTGCTCAATTCTAGCTCCCCAAAGCCTTTAACCGGGAGTGCACCGTTGGCTGAGCATCCTGTGTCAGAACATGTGCCTTACACACGTCACTACAGCATCCTCCACGGGTGGCAGGCCACTACTGCTTACAGAGTCTGTCCCTGAAGTCTTAAATTATGAACCTACTCTGCACAACTCTTGAACCATGTTCTCTTGTGGTTGCTGGCATGTATGTCACAGTCTGAACATGAAATGTCCCCACAGGTTTACATGTTGCACGCAGGTCCCAGTGACGGTGCCATGTTGGAAGATGGCTGCCTGGAGCATGTACTAATCTCGCCCCAGGCTCCTTTCTCTCACTCCCTCTCCTCCTGTCTGCCATGTAGGAAGAGGCACTCCCCTGCCGGGTGTGCCCCCCACCAAGGCACCCTGCTCAAAGCAGGGCATCAGGCAGGCACAGGCCTCATCCTGCAAAGCCTCAAATGCTGAGCCTTCCTTTCATGTTCTTCTCAGGTATTCGTCAGTGATGCAGAAGTAACCAATGTGGAAGTAAGAGGCTCTTTCCAGTCTCCTGTCCCTTCATATACTGTCTCTGTCTAATCCACAGACAACACAGAATCACTTGCTACATCCAAGAACTATACATAGCCATGGGGGGGAGTGGTAGAGAGCTTTAATCCTAGCACTCAGGAGGCAGAGGCAGGTGGATCTCTGAATTCTAGGCTAGCCTGGTCTACAGAATGAGTTCTAGGACAACCAGAGCTACACAGAGAAACCCTGCCTCAAATTAAAAAACAAGAGTATTAATAATAAGTATAAAAATGAATGCAGTCTATGCTATAGGCATAGAAGAAAGAACACATGGCAGGAAGGGAGCCTGCAATGAAGGACAATTCCCAGGTAGGCAATCATCCATGGAAAAATGTTAGTCACAATTTTTACCATTTGAGTCACAAATATTAGAGTTACAATCTGCAGGCACAGCCTTCCAAAAGTAACGCTGGTCACCTAACAATTCAGAACTTATACTCTAAAATGTAAGTTTATTGTTAGCTATTAGCTCTAATTTCATAATTAATGACTTTCAGAAAAAGTGAGGCATTCCATTATATACAGAAAAAATGTGGCATTCCGACAGACTGCAGTCTCATTATCTCTTCTTTCACTCCAAGATTTACTCTGGAGCTTCCAAAAGAACAACCCTGACTCCTGAACTGGTGCCTTCTGAGGGGTGGGGGCTGCCTAGTTAAAAAAAAAATATATATATATATACATATATATGTGTGTGTGTGTGTATACACAGATAGATAGATAGATAGATAGATAGATAGATAGATAGATAGATAGATAGAATTTTCCTTTAGAGTTCTCATCTAGTATCTGCCTTCACCAGGAAAATCACAAACCACCTGTGACTTAGTGGAAGAAATTCTGAAAGAGCTAGATGATGGGTGTAGTGATGTGGAACCACAATCCTGAGGATCAGAGATAGAGGCCAGCCTGGGCTACGGCAAGTTCTAGGCTAGCCTGGGCTACAAAGCAAGGCCCTGACTTAAAACAAAACAACAATCCTTTTCCATAATCCTTTCAAAGTTTTTGGAAAACCTCAAGAGAACAGTTAGTTGAACAGACAACCCCAGCTACTGGCTAAGAGAAAATGTATTTTCTGAGACAACACTCTGTGTACTGTACCACCTCATAATGCAGAGACAGAAGGAAAGCCACAAATACCAGATCCTGGTCTAAGGGGACTCACACCCAGGTCTCCAGGGCTTCAATCTCCTGTAAAATTAATGGTATTACCCGGTGTTGAACTCCCGCTTCAGGCAAACCTCAGTGTCTGCACTGAACATTTGCTGTTTGGTTTTTAAGTAAACAGAGTGGCCTTTGCCCTGAGCGCAAAGAGACACGAGAATGCAAAGTAACACCTGCAAGCCCAGGCAACAAGCAAAATGTTTCAATCAGTCGACAGGCTTGAGTAAGAGGAGCAGTCGGGAGGTGTGACCTGCTGGTGTTCCCTGGAGAAAGAAGACACTGCAGACAGGACACAAAAAAGAGGAAGAAGAGAGTGGAGAAATTGGGGAATAATAAAAGCCCTCCATGCTGCCCTGAGGAGTCTGACCCGACAGTTGAGTAAGTAACCACTGAAAATGACAAGCATCCTTCCCCAGCAGAGTGCAGGCAGCCTGGCCAGGGGAGACACTCTCCTCACAATTTCACTGCGAGGAGTCAGTCTCCTCTAGGAAACGCCTGAGGCTGAAACCACGGTCTACAGGACTTTTCTGAACTGGTAAGTCATAGAGCACCTGTAACTGGGACAGCTGTAAGGAAACTGAACGCAAGGGCATGACAGGGCACACGCCAGCTCTGCACACCTGTATGGAATAAACATGAGAAGCATACGAAGTTTATAAGCCTCCAAAATGGTTCTGAAAAACACTGCTCAAATAAAGCGTCACAAGGAGCATCGTTAGCTACAAGTGCGGATCGGCCGAGTCTCACTCACCTGTGTTCCGCAGGGACCGGGGGCGGCCATACTGCTGGGTCCCTAAACGGTTCATCCCGACAAGACACGGGGAAGTCAGGGGGCTTGTCCATCTTAAAGCTTTCTAACGTGCTGACAATACTCTTAACCTGTTCATATTCTTCCAAGAGTTCCTGCCGTACCTGAAGAAGGGAGCCGTTATATCAGGAGCCGCTCAGAGCTCACACACAGTGCACATAAATTACAACAGAGTGCAAGCTTCCTTACTGTCAGTCAAAGGGTGCAAAATGAGTCACAGAAATACTGACACACAGCTCTTCCGGGAGGTACAGACAGACAGACAGCAGGGAGGAGAGGGCTACGTTGCATGCCTCGTCACATAAGGAAAAGCTGTGCATCTCATAAAAATGTGGTCGCTATTAATATAATTTAAAACAAACATTTCAATCAGTAAGAAGCTATCCACTACAGACTCAGAAGATACTATGCTAAATCTTTCAATATCCTTAGAGGTTAAAATAAAATTGGTCAAAATTTCCACCCCATTTACCATCTCCACAGTCACGAGGCATGAAATGCTTGTCCCCAGAGTCCGGCTACTGCCGGCCAGTGCTAAGCATCACACACGGTCCACCCTTATGTATGGTCCCCTTCACTACAGCCTCTTTTGGCTTCAACTCTTTTGAGTCCTGGATAAGGTTTAAAATGTAACTGAGTACCTACAATGTGGAAAGCATTGTTTTCTAACTTGGTGCTCAGTGTAAGCCAGTTCTCACATGCAAACAATACCCAGGAAAGCTGGATGTTTAAACTCGATTTTAATAATTACAGTAACTTTCAAACCAGAAAGTATGCTTAACTCTAGGGCAGAGCAGAAGAGCTTGCCCCTGGAACAGTACTGAAAAGAACACACAAGGAAGCTACAGACCAAAGACAGACCCAAGTGAGAGCCAAGTGGCAGCATGTAGGACATATGAAACTCTGCTGGGGTACTACATGCCAGACCCAGTGGAAAGGACACACAGGAATATCAGTAGAGACACTCCCCACCACAAACGCAAGCACCCACCTGTGAGAGGCAGGAGAACTGGGAGCTCTAAGGGTTACAGCCCGAGTTACAGCAAGTGTGGGGTTCTTCCTCAAGGGAATTGGGTAAGTCTTTGTTGGAAATGAGCCAAATTTACCCTCAAGACTCATGAAGCACTAACTCCTGACTTGTAGGGAATTGAGGAGAGGTTTTGGAAAGGCACCAGAGGAAACGGAAACTTCAAAGTGCTCTCTTTGTACTTTTAAGTTTAAAAGGGTCTTAAGTTACAACGATAATTGGAGGACTCATAATTCAAGTTTGCATTAACTAGACTATTATATAATCAAGTTGTACGTCAAAAAGACAAAAAAGATGTGAGTGCCTTTTATTAGATTACCAGCTCATTTGTGTTTGTAAGAAGACTTTCAAGGAAAGCGTTTACTAAATAGGTCAGAGCTACAAACAGAAATGAGAAGAGAGACAGACAGCGACAAGAAATACCTAACTTCAAAACTGTGTTGGCAGATACAATTGAGCGTGAAAGTTTGTAAAATTAAGAATACATTCAACTACAATTAAGTATCCTCAAAGACTAAAATGTATGGTCAAAAATACAGAGACTAGTAAGTAGGTAGCGTATCAGAACCACATGCAGAGTTAAATGTGAAATGTATTCAGTGTTCAGACAAATAAGAACAATGTTCAAAAGCTCTGGCTAATTTCCCAACTCTGCTTCCTCAAGTTACCAGAGCACATCCACCGTGGCATGTGGAACCCTGATGGGCATAGTCCTACCTGCTGCCACTTGGCTTTGGTGGCTGGGTCTCTCAGTGACTGGCAGTGTCTCTGGATCTGCTGTATCACTCCCTGGTAATACACCATTGACGAGTCATAATTACCCAGAAGTGCATACTCCCGGCCTTTCTTTGCATTCTCACAAATCTCTGCCAAATTCATCTTCCTTCAGACACCTGCACGATAAAAACAAGGCTCTTTTTTTAAAAGGTTCTTGCACTGATTTAAAAACAATTATCGGTTTTGTAACATGTGCCTTGAGAGTCCGAACAGCCTTAACACTGAACTAAATTTCCAATTCTGTGCACACAGAGGAAATCACAGGACATCCAGGGAGATAACACGGAGAGCCTCTCGCTGGTGACAGACAACTGGTTGATTTACGAGGAAAAGTGGCCATGAGTGCTCCTCGCTCATTTGTGACTGACAAACTCAGTCAGACATACTCACAAGACTCTGTCCTCCCCAGCTTCTTTATAACATAGAAGAATTGTGTGAGTATCATCAAGTATTTTAACGTTTGCTGTTTCCACTGAGGAGGTTGGACCCCAGGAGTAAAGCGTGAGCCTTCAGAGGACGGCCTTTGGACGCCCATCATCATTTCAGTGCCTTAACTGCATCGCACAGCAGAGAAATGCACACTAAGAGAAAAGCACGCACTACACAGAGGTTTCCACACTTCAACGTGCCCTTCTCCAACATCTACTGACTTTGTATAGGGGAAAGACGGTCAGATAACTTTCGTGGCTGGCTCTCCCCTTCCCTTGCCTAGCCATCTCTCCAGCCTACCTGATAATATCCCATCTGATGCATCCATCTGATGCTAGGAATACCCCGAGCCTCTGGCTTCTAGGCCAGTCCTTCAGCTCAGCAAGTCTAACTTTTCTCTAGACTTTCCTAAAATCTCCTAGAGTTACCCAAGACTTATTAGCGAAGACACTTTCCTCCCAAGACCATAAGCATAGAAAGTCCTAAAATACAGAGGAGGGGAGAGAACCCAGGATGAGTACCAATTACTCTATCTTCTGGAACAACAAGCCAATTAAATATCTACTAAAGAAAACAGAAGTACTTCTCCTTGCCTTTCTAGAGAATTATTTTGGTTTGGGTAGCCTGACTCTCCCAAAGTAGACAGTGGAATCAGTAGGTTCTGGGCTCACGAGAGAGACCCTGCCTCACTATAGAAGGTGGACCAAGGAAGGAGAACCCTGCTGGCACCTTCTGACTACCCATGCTCTGTTCACACCCATGCCAGTGGACATACATACGTTGACCCACAACCATGCATACACTCATGCATTCACACCACACACATACATTTTAAAAATATTGAAAAAGCTGCACCTAAAAGATCAGTACATTGCATCTTCTGGGTCTACCCAGGAGAATGTTCCCAGAGAAAACCACCCTTGGGAAGAAGGCCTTCCCAGAATATGGGTAGCAGCATTTTGTGGGCTGGGGACCCAGACTGAAAAAGGTATTTGTTCTCTTGGTGTGCTGGGTGCCACAGCCCTGCCCTGCATGCCCTTTTGCCCTGAAGCACTGACTACCTTATGATGGACTGAAACCATGAAACCAGTCTGCCCTTCCTTCCCTGAAGCCCAAAGCCATGGGAGTTGAAGCAGACCCTTCTTCCTTTAGGCAATACTCTTAACTCCTGCTTTATGACTAGCTAAACCTCAACAAAGTTCGCTGTGAATTTCATTCTTCTAAGGTTGCTGGCTGCTAATATGTGCAGGTATGCCATTATGTAGGAAATTTTTTTTTGACAGAACAAAAGGACTGGCATCCTTTTTGTAAAGATTCAGACGAGTATTTAAGTTCTAAGAACTAACAAGCAAAATTGTCCAGCATAGTGGTGTATGCCTTTAATCTCAGAACCTGGGAAGCAGAGGCAGGAGGACCTCTGTGAGTTCAAGGCCAGCCTGGGCTACTGAGCTAGTTCTAGGCCAGCCAAGGCTATGCAAAGAAACCCTGTCTTGACAAACCAAAAATATTTATAACAATAATAATAATTAATAATAGTAATAAAATTTTCTCTATTATATAATGATAACATTCAAGAATATAGATAGCAGTAACTCTGTAAAGTAAGCTTCCTAATGAAAAGGGCTGACTAGAGTCAAGGCTTAGGACTGAGTTGGTGTTCCCTACTGTCAATCACAAGCACGATGCCATTAGAGGCAGTCTGTAATAACACTGGATGGATTCTGTCTGTGCAGTCTTCTCTTAAATGACTCGGTGGGAGCCGGTTCAGTCTCCCCACATACTGCTAGCAAACTGTAGCCACAGCACAGTCACTGTCCAGAGAGTATTTAAACAATGTATTCTGCAGATCTTCAAGACCAGTTAAAGACCAGGCTGAAAGGAATTTACTTCAACAACAGTAGACGGATATGTAATGTGGAAATGTGTGTCAAAGTCTGGGAAACGACACTGAAACCAGCCTCAGCTCCAAGGAATGCTGACAGCCATGCCGAGGAGGAACGCAGACGTCACTTGTCGTTTGTTTTACCTTCTGACCACACGGGAAGCTGAGCAACCCTGAAGTTGTGTAAAAACACTAACTGGCACTGCAGTAGTTTTACGGTGGTATTTTGATATAAGCACCTGCTCTGTCTTGGAGTGAGGAAGGTGAATTCATTAAGAAATATCACTGCGTTTATAGTGAAGGCTGACGGCTAAAGCCACTTAGGTGTTCAGCAAGAGTGGCTGAGGGCAATTCCTCTCATTCTGATGACTTCCTGCTTCTACCCTACACTCAAAACCTGGCTAAGGCAAGGGAGGGCGTTGCTTTTACTCTTGACACAGAGCCATAGAACTGACAACAGCTAATTCCATCAGGACCAAAACTAACCCTGTACAGACCCTGACCTTGGGACAGATGTACGTATTATCTGCAAAACACCAAAGAATTAATGTCAGATAACTACGAATTTCATCTGATCCCCATTTTCATAGCACCATAACCACATCCGCCTTAAAGCTCACTCCGTTCTACACTGATGCTTACAACCATCGTTCTAATGTATCTTCTCAGATTCAAGTTGTATGGAACGGGTGCTTCAATGCCTCGAAAACACTGTACATGTGTCCTCACCGCCCTAACACACAACCATTTGTTAAAACTCTCTTCTCAAAAACTTCAGGCTCAGTGTTGACTTCTCAAGTAAACAACTGAGCAGTATTGCTAACATCTGCCATCTCATCAAGAGCCAAGGAAAACCACTCAAAATCATTTGCTTTGGTTTTTAATTGATTAATGGTGCCCTCAATGCTTTGAGCCACCGTTCGTGCCAAAAGGCTAATAATTTTAAACAAATTTATTTTCTCCAGACACAGTTCTGAGCCTGCTGCAATCCAGCTTCCCTGCTGGTCAATGGTTTCCTTCCTTGGCTAACACATAAGCCACTTGGAAACTGACCGCATTTCCATTTTTTTCAGTTCTGTGAAGAGAAATCTGGAGGAAGATGGCCCACCAAAGTCTGCTGATTCTTCTGGCCTTTGCTTTCTTATATACCTTTGGTATGGGATGGTGGGTGCTTCCTCTGGTGACAGAGGTGTGTACAGGTCTTCGGCACAGCCCTGTGTACTGTGCAAGCACATTGCTTCATCCTCTGACTCACTCTGCTCCCTAGTTAAAATTCCTAATGCATTTCTTCACCTTTTCTTGTTTTGACATGAGTATGCACTGATAAAAAATAATAATTTAGGTGTCACGTACGGCACTGAGACTCGGGTGACAGTGTTATCAAGCACTGCATAAAGCCTGTGCAAATGTCACTGTATCTCTGACACACCTACCCGACTCTGCCTTTCCAGAGGAAGGCAGCCAGAAGCAGTACATAGACAGCTGGGTGTGGCTGCATCCCAATAAAACTCATGGATAGTCACGAATTTCCTTTCACTTTTATGAGTTTTCAAATATCTTTTTTCTTCAACTGTTAGAAGAAAGCAAGTTATCCCTAGTTCATAGGTCATTCAGGAAGAGCCTGCTGGGTTGCAGTTTGCTGGTGCCTTCTTGGACCTCCCATTTGAGGGCTGGAGGGATTAAACCCAAAGGGGCAGAAAGGAAAAACATAACTGTAGCCAGACTTCTCCATCCCTTTTCTTCCACTCTGTCAACCCCCTAACACTAGATAGGAAAGAAAAGGGAAGAGAGGGGGAAGGGGGCGAGGTTACCATTAGACTACTTCCTGGTGATGTGGGCGTTGAGTTCCTTGAGGCAAGCTTGATCTTGGACACTGGGATATCTAAGGTGGTCTTCTTTCTTCCTTGCTCATGATTACTTAACATACTGCAACCAACTAACAACCAACAACAACCCCAGCTCTCAGGGCCCTACCATCTACATGCCCTCTGTCTTAGTTAGGATTCCCATTGCTGTGAAGAGACATCATGACCAACGCAACTCTTACAAAGGATGACATTTAACTGGGGCTGGCTTACAGGTTCTGAGGTGTCATCAGAAGGGAAGCATGGCAGTGTCCAGGCAGGCATGGTGCTGGGGGAACTGAAAGCTCTACATCTTGTTCTGAAGGTAACCAGAGATGTTTCATGGGCAACTATGAAGGTCTCTTCTGCACTGGGTGTAGCCTGAGCATAGGACTTACAACAGTGACACACTTCCTCCAAAATGCCACACCTCCTCATAGTGTCAGTTCCCATGGGACAAATTTATTCAAACCCCTACAGCCTCTTAACAGTCTCCAGAATTCCAAATGTCACACAATTGCAAAACTCATAAAAGTCTACCTGCTTCTACCTTCTGGTTTCTGGACTGTGTGTACCACCGTTCCTTGCCTCACCCTGGTTTTTGAGACAAGGTCTCTCAGTGGCCTTAGGATTGCCTAGTAGGCTAGGATAGCTGGCCAACAGGACCCCAGGGATTTCTGTTTCCACCTCCCCACAGCTAGGATGACAAGCATGTGCCAATATACATAGCACTGGGGGTGGGGGGTGTAGGAAATTGAACCCCTGGTCTTCGGGGTTCCATAGCCAGCACCATTCCAAGTGAACTATCTCTCCAGCTCCTGCATAGGTTTTGAATCTCTTCTGAAGCTTCAGGATGTGACTGAAGTGGAGACTTCTAAGAGGTATCAGGAAAGCACATATAACATAGTCCTCTGAGAGTTTCTGGTAACTTTGTAGTAATGGAAGTGTTGAGATCAGGTACCAGAATGGCAGCTGACTGCTCTGCCTGTGTCTCCAGAGACACAGAACAAGTTGTCACATCAATGGCTTAACACCAGAAGAGATCTGGGCCCTGTCCAAGGAGGAGCTGCAGATGCCTGTCACCAGAGGGGACTTAAGAGTTGGTGCTTAAGAAAATCGCCACATCTGTCTCTGCAGCAGATCTGGAGAAGTATGAAAAGTAGACGGTTGAGTTCAGGTCTGTGTGATTGGTCAGCTTTTCCATTTCTAGGAGTTTTGTTTATGAAATATGAAGAAATTCCTGAAATGAAAAAACATCTGGAATTTTTAATGAGAGAAATCGTCACTTAAAGGCCAAAACAAAACAAAAATGCCTAGAGGTACAGAGAAACATAGTTGAGAAACAAGAGCCACCCGTAGAGTCTGCTGGCTTCACTACCAAACCTCATAGTCATGCTACAGAATAAGCAAGCCATTGGCCTGGGATTAAAGGGTCTTTAGCAAGACTATTTCCTGGTGATTAGGGATCTCAAGTTCCTTGGGGCAAGTTCAATCGTTGCCATCAGGATATCTAACTTCTTCTTCTTGTTGTTTCTTTGCATAGATACAACTACTTAATGAATGGTGATCAACAACCAACGCCACTTCTTAGAGCCCTAGCATTTATATACCTTCTGAAAAGTCCCCAGAATTCCACACATCACACAGTCACAGAAACTAACCGCCTCTTGGCAAAAATCATATCCCTAAATTATAGTCAGTCCCTGTGGACAATCTGAAACAGCCCTACGTCCCATACATGGTATTAAAATGAAAACAATTCTGACAATATTTCTCTGTAAATTCCACGTTAGAAAAATGTCAGGAACCATAATGGGACAAGCTAACAACTAGCAGGTGATCATCCTGAAAAGGCCTGCCTTGGATTATTATATAATCTTCGACAGGTGCAGCCTTATTCCACAAGGCTGTAAGGGACTAATTTTTAGGAAAAATTCCTGCTATTAATATGCTCTTCCTATTATTAAACATATATAACAATCACTAAGCAATAGCACACCCCTTTGGAGCAGATCTCTGCAGATCCACGAAAATGAAGTCTTGTGGTGATGCTATATAGACAATTAGATGACTTCTCAAGTCTTAATGATGATCCTATTAGAATTCCTAAAATAATATCAATGATTACTAAGCTCTTTTATAATGGTCCCTTTCTGATAGCCAAAACTGCAATGAGAACTCTGTCAGTCTCCCAAGTGTCATCAGTTAATTGCTCTTAGGTAGTAACCAGACTTTCTCCTACTCAGAGCACATTCCAAGAGGTTGTAAAACAATTAACCAAAGGTCATAAAAAGGGAATTAATGATTTATTTAGGTGCTAGGACAGAAGATAAAATATTGACTGGGTTTATCTATACAAAACTTCACTAATTTCTTATAGTTTTAAACCTTCAGTGAACCTGTGGAGCTAGGCAGGTGATGGATGTTTAGCCAGATAATTACTCCTAATGGATATGCATGTAAACATTCTGTTGTAAACTTCTATTTTAAATTATGATTTGATTTTTCATGTGAACTTGTGATGAACTTTGTAACATGTGATCATGTACTGAAAGATGTATAAGTACTGAGGACAAAGAGATGAGAGGAAGACAGAATAGAGAGAGAGAATTTTTTTTCCCTTTCCCCAGATAGAGTAGAATTTTTCTCTTTCCCCGCTTAGGATCTTTCCACTTTTCCCCTTAGATAGCTTTCATAGTAAACTTTTTTAACAACTTAGTAATAAACACAATAACCACATCTCTAAGTGTCTTTTCCTGGGACTTCCGACTAGCAGGGTGAAAGTTAGAGCCCAGCAGTTCCTGCTGAGATAGTACAAAGGCTATTTACTTAATCCTTTGTTTTTTTTAGGGTGAGGTGATAAGTGCAAGAAACTACAAGTTTCTGGCCTCCGAGGATCAAAGAAGGCAGATCAGCTACAGTAACATAGGAGCTTAGACTTGGATAAGTAAACTTTTATCATACAGCAACCCTAAATATCTTGTAAGACAAAGTCTCTCTCTCTCTCACACACACACACATACCCAGAATCTCGTAAGACCAAGTCTTACCCCCACCGACGCTCTTCCCCCTCCACTGCCTCAAGAAGAACCAACAAGAAGAAAGAAGATCATCCCCCCAAGCTGGGGCTGCCCCCCCCAGCAGAAAAACTCAAAATTCTCACTACGAATAATAAAGAGAAGAAATCCTCCTGAGCCATGCCTAATCCCAGCATGCTGAGACAGACAGGTGGATACCTTGAGCTCTAGGACAGCCTGGTCTACATAGTGAGTTCTAGCTAGCCAAAACTACACAGTGAAGCCTTGTCTTTAAAACAAAATAAAATGTGAATAAATAAATCAAATTTAAAAAAAACAGAAAAAGAATACAAAACACTTCAATGTGGTCAAAGGAGATTCTTCAGAAAGTTCAATAAAATTACTAAATTGCTAGTAAAGCTGGCTAGGAAAAGAGGAAAGACATTATTACCAAAAGGAGAAATGAAGGAAAGCTAGCAACGGAAACTTCAAAAAGAGTGAAAGGTCAAACAAAGCTTAACGAAATAGACAAAGTGTGTGAGATCACAGAATATCAAAACCCACTGAGAAATCTCATCAGTGAATGAAACCGAGTTAGTTATTTAAGACCTCTCCAAAATACTCCAGACCTATCCGTTTCACATGTGAGTTCTGGCAAGAGCTTGGGTAAGAAAGAAACAAATACTAAAGACACTCTTCAGAAAAAGGCAAATATTAACTAGCCATTTAAAGTTTAACTGGTCTTCAAAGTAGAATCAAAATATGTGTGGGCAACATTCAAGCTGATAAGTGGGGAGTGGAAACGGAAGGGTTGGGCATTACTCTATGACACTGAACCGCATCAGCTAAAATGCAAAATTATATATATATCAGACACCACCAAATAACAGTAATATCTTTCATCAGCTTTCACACTTGTCCTTTTAAATATTATTGTCCTCTGAACACACGCTAATGAATGGGTTTACTATGCCAAGAGCTCTGAGGTACTTGAAAAATAAACAGAAATACCTAGAAATTCACGGGAAAAGGCAAAGGCCTTTTAATGACGGCTTTGTCGGGTCTCGCATCGACCTTGCGCCATACATACGGTTCTGCACCGAGAGGCAGCACCCTATGAGGCCGAGGCCCCGCGCGGTGGCGATGGGGCGGGGCCGCGTGTGCAGCGGCTGCCAGGCCAGAGCGCAGCACTGAAGCTCACCTGCGCTACCCCCGCCTGATGCACACCGCCCAATCCAGCGACCACCCCGAGCCCCCTGTAGACAAAGAGCCACTTAAACACCATCGGAGCAGCTCGGAATTTATCAGTCTGTCGCCGCATGCTGGACCCCTGGGCTTTGTAGTTCTTGGCCCGAATCACCCAGCCAAGGCGCCGAGCCTGAGGAGCCAACGAACTACAAGACCCATGATACCCTGCGATCGGTGCTACTGTCGGCCCGGCTCTCCAGCTTCTCCTCCGGGGGAGCGGCCTGGTGTCGGCGGCCGAGGGCTTCTGGACTAGGACTGCCCACCTGGGCTCCGTACCCAGCGTCTCCCGGTCTCGCCCGGCCCCTCGGGCTCACCACTTAGATCCTGCAGGTCAAGGCTGTAAAGGAGAGGGGAGAGGAGGCGGGGCGCCGCTAGCCGCCGTCCAGAGTCCGTTAGTTCGCGACCTGCGCGGAGAGGCGGTGGCGCACGGTTGCCATGGCAGCTGCGGCAGCACTGCGGAGAGGGCGTGGGGCTGAGTCAGCGCTGGGTAGCGGGACTGTGGGGAAGGATGCGCAGGGGCTAGTGTTGCGAACATTGAGCCCTCACCCCACAGGATGGGGAACCCGAGGCCCTAGGTGGGGCGTGCTGCACCTGCCGCATCCGGTCGGGATGTGTGCGGCGGCAGAGCGCTGCTCCTAAGGCGTCCTTGCTAAGCTAGCTCTGTGGAGTGGAAGCCACTCGCAGCCCCCTCCTGCTATCCTCCAGGGAGTGGAGTAAGAAGGAGCCATTGCAGAAGATGGCGTGTGCACACAGCCTACAGGAGGACTTGGGACTCTTTGGAACTCGTAAATGGCACTGATCCCCACCCATTGAATTCGAAGCTATAAGGTGTCTTAGGTACATGTTTGCGCACTTTCCAGGATCGTCAGTGAAGTGTGGGCCAGGGATTAACAACCTGGGCTTCTAACACAGCTTCCTGGCTAACTGGTTGGTAGCTGATGACTCAAGGCACCTTACCTACCTGCTCTGACGTTTTAGTCTGCAAAATGGAACTATCCCTGTATTCCTGAGAGAAACTTTTATAATGATGAAACAGTATAAAAGTCTAGCACCTCACACAGTAGCTTTCGGATACTAGTGAATCCGATCGTGATAAAAATCAAAATATTTGGCTAGCAGTTGAAGGTAGGTTGGCCGAGGGGGAGGTTGCCCTGTACCGATTAAAAAGTGCTATATTTTGCTAAAAGTTTAGGTCAGGGAAGTGTCTGTAGCTGTCAGAACTTATGGAATAGAACCATTATTATTTGTACATTTTATTGTATATAAATTTACCTCAAAAGGAATGTACTGCCTTAGGAAATTAAGAAATTAATAAAAAACAAGTGAATTACTGTCCTTAATATTTTCTCATAATGCCTCTTAAGAAATTAGGGCAGGTGGGGCACAGTGCCAGTGCCTTTAGTCCCAGCAACTGAGGGGCAGAGGCCAGCCCAGTCTACAAATTGAGTCCAGGCCAGCCAGTGACTGTTACACAAAGAAACCCTGTTTTGAAAACAAGCAAACAAAACAAAAATTGTTTTAAAAACCAACTAAATTAGAACTGAGGATATAACTCGTTTGTTAGAGAATGTACCTGGCATGCATAAAGCCGTGGATTTGATCCCTGCACCACATAAACTGAGAGTGGTGGCCCACCTCTATAACCCAGCATTCAGGAGAATGCAAGCAGGAGGATTAAGTGTTCAGGACCAACCTCGGCTACATAAAGAATTAAAGGCTAGCTTGGGTTGTGTGAGAACCTGTGGAAGAAATGAACAGATGAATTAAGATGGAGCCGGGGGTGGGGGGTAGTGACTCACACCTGTAATCTCAGAACATGGGAGGCTCAGTAAGTCAAGACACTTACCTCAAATCAGAGGCCAACCTGGGCTACAAGGTAAGACTGTCTCAAAGGTGGGACAGAGAGAAAAGTTGAAAACGCAAGCTACTGCTTCACCATCGTCACCCTATCACAGAGACCTTCCGATTGGTTGGAGCCTTTTGCCCACCTCTGTGGGGTAGCCTAATCCTCTCTAAGACTGTGCTGTCCATGGGGGACACAGAATCAGGGTCACTTCTAGCTCAGAGTCCTTTCTCTGAGCACTCAAGACTCACATCAACTCTGCTTCCTCCCCTCCCCCTCTGAAATCAACCCCCTCTGCTTGTTTGCAAAACACACCTTTTTATCTGAAGGTCTGGAGTAGGTGGGTTTTTTATTTTTATTATTATTATTATTATTATTATTATTATAAAATGCTCACTCGCACATACCCCTAAAATTAGAAATCTTTCCTCTTAAAAGTCCTTTGTCCCACCCCGTGGCACTTCATCTACTCCCATTCCTCCAGCAGAAGCCACAGCTCGGCCCTGCCCATCATTCTACAGTGCTGTCTCCCCTGTCCTCTTCCTCTCTTTACACAGTATTTCCCATCTCCCATCTTCCTCCCCCCCATTCTCTTTACTACATACCACTGCTAACCTGGTTACCAGAGTGATTTCCTACACAGACAAAATGCCTTCCCCAAAGGAACTCTAGGGCCAGCCTTTACAATAGTCCCACACACACACCAAGGGCTCCGTAGAGATGGCACAGTCTTTAAAATGCTTGTTTTGAAAACACAAGGTCTTGAGTTCAGTGCCCAGAAGCAGGGTGGAAAACCTAGGTGTGGCAGCTCAATTTGTATGATATCTGCACGGGCGGGGGGGCTACACAGAGTGCCGAGCCTAGCCTATTTGATGAGTTCCAGGCCAGTTAGAACACCTGAACAGCATTTAAGGCTCCTCTGGCTGCCATTGTGCACACATGCACACACATATACAAAGTCGATATTTTCACACTGCAGCATATATCCCATATTGTTTGATTTAGTCCCTATGCACATGAGCTGTCAGTCTACCTTCACAGTGGCTTCAGTAATGAACACTCTTACCACATACATCACAGAGAGCGGGTTATTTAATAGACGTGGGAAAGTAGAAGAAAATAGCTAAGGTCTGACCTAAAGAGAAAGAAAATCAGAACTCCGTGCATGTCTAGCTTAGAGAGAGAAACAACAGCATTTAACTGGTGAGGTCCAGGACAAAATCCAAAGCAGAATGACATCCTTGGAGAAGCAACGCTTGGCCCTGTTGACCAGCTCTGCATATATAACGAGCACGTAGATTCTCCTGGAGAAAGTGATAGGACTCTGCGCCCAGCTGAAGCAGGGCTGAGGGTCACCTGATCCATCCATCCCTCCTATAGCTTCCCTTGTGATCATCCCGGTCTGTGCAAGGCAGCTGGCCAGGGTTGTTGTACAATCTGCAGCCATGAAAAGTACTCTAGACAAAGTTCTGATGCCTAGCTGCCTTGGTTTTCAGGGCCAGGATCCCAGAAAATCAGCTTAGCAGGACAAGCCATTTGAGAATGGGCGACAGCAAGACAGCAGACAGCTGCTCATGTGAGCTGGGGTGGATAGTCTCAAAGACCATGAGTCACTGAGGCATAGCCAGGAACACCACAAAGGGCAAAGCTCACAAAGGAAGCAAAGCTCTCAAAGGGGGCAAAGCTGCCAGAGGGAGTTTTGAAGGAGTAAGAGCCAACAAGAAACCTTTTCTTATTTTCACTGGCTACTTTGTGTCTTAGTTACTGTTCTATTGCTGTGAAGAAACACCATGACTAAAGTTACTTATAAAAGAAACCATTTAACTGGGAGCTAGCTTACAGTTTCAGAGGATTAGTCCTCCACCATTGTGGCTGGAAGCATGGCAGCAGGCAAGACACTGGAACCGTAGCTGACAACAACCAAAAAGGCGGGGGGGGGGGGGGGGGGAAGGAGAGGGAGAGGAGAGGGAGGAGAAGGGGAGGGGAAGGAGGAAAAGGAGAGGGAGCAAGAACTGGGAACACTGTGGGTCTTTAGCCTCAAAGCCCATCCTCCGGGATGTATATCCTCCAACACCTCCTAATCCTTCCCAAACAGTTCCATCAACTGGAGATCAAGCATTCAAATATATAGGAGCCTATGGGAGTCACTCTCATTAAAACCAACATGCTCTGTACCATAAAAGTGATAGTTAGCACTATACAAACCCAGCCCAAAAACCAGGGTTGAAAATTAACGTTAATTAACCTATTACTCTTATAAGGAGACATACCATTTCTGGTGCAGTCATATATTTGTTTCTCTTGGGATCTTGGTCATCTTGGCCCCTAGAGTTTGACGTTGCTGATCACCCATTGGGGTGACCTATGACCGTTGCTCTCTTCAGAGCTTCCCATCTATCGTATTATTCCCCAACTCCTCTACCAGTTCCAAAGGTCACATCTCCACACCTATCCCATTTCCAGGGTTTCACCTCTGAACTCTAACAGATGCTCAGACTACCCCCTCTGGTCCTGACGCCCGAGCTGCAGAGTCCCCACGCCAAGCAGGGCTTGTGCATCCTGGTTATGTTCTTTTGCTTCTGTTCACCTAGGTAGCCACCATCGACATTCCACCTGTCCTAGAATGATTTACACAAACCCTCCCCATGTAGATCTCATTTCTGTTCCTGATCATCTCTCCCTTCTCTTTGCTCCCAGAATCTCCCACAGTAGGTGGTATCAAGAAACCTACTGTCCATTCTGTCTGGTGACAGCTCGTCTATTTCTTAGTAATGTACTCTTTACTATCATTTCAAGCTTTTCTTTATGTTTCTAGGTATTCCTCAAACACCATCATAGACAGACAGACAGACAGACAGACAGACAGACAGACAGACAGACAGATGGCATGTGTGTTTGGGAACACATATGCATGCATATGAAGGGCCAGAAGTCACCCTCCAATATCATCCCTCAAGTACTGTACACCTTGTTTTTTTGAGACAGGGTCTCTTGTCTCAAACTGTCCTGGAATTCCCCAAGCCATCTGGCCTGGCTGGCCAGTGAGTCCCAAGAGATCCGCTTGTCTCTGCCTCCTGGTGCTGGCATTACAAGCTCACCATCAGGCCTGGATTTGTTCTTGTGGGTTCTGAGCCCTCAAATTTGGGTCCTCAAACTTGTTCAGGAAACACTTCAACTGATCCACCTCTCGAGCC